GGCTCCCGTCCCAATGTGCCCTGGTCTCTGAGGAGCATCTAGTTCCAGTGTGGTTGGAAGGCGGCCCTCCCAGGCCCACGGCGTGCCTTCTTGGCTGTGACCGGAGCTTTCTGTGCCCACTCTCCTGCCGGCTGGATGCCACGGACCACACTGCCATCTCACTGTTACAGTGGCTCCGTGGCCAGAAAGACTGCTCTGGGCTCCGGACGCCGCGGCTGCCGTGGCTTCCCCAGCCTGGGGCCCGCGGGGGCGTTCTGGGCCTTGGCGACTTCCGGAGCTGTCTCGCCACCAGGCCCGCTGGATGCCAGCCTGCGTCTGGGCCTCACGCCTCCTGTATCTCGAGTGGTGCTTCCAGCTCGGGCGGCCTGGGGCTGTTTTTCCACTGGGGCCCTTTGGAAATGGTGCCCAGGCTCCGGCTCCCCGGGCAGCCCGTGAAGTGAGCCTTGTGTCCTGCGCTGGCCGCTGCCCGGGGGCCAGATCTGCCCCAATGCGGCTGCTGTCACGTTGGCCCAAAGGTCTGCTCGGGCTGCGGCCGAGGTTGGGCCGTTTCTTTAGCCCGGGTGGGCCCAGGAGGTGGCACCAAGGCTTCACCTCTCCAAGAACTTCCTGCTCGGGAACTTGGGATTATCCTTTGTTGGCGGGCAGCGGGCGGTTAAACCAGCACAGGTAGCCTGGTGCATCCCGCCCACAGGGACCAGCACACAGTAGGTGCTCAGCAAACACCTGCATATGTTTGGGAAACGTCTTTTTGGAGAGTGTTTCTATAAACATCGTGTCATGGAGTTCTGCAGCCAGGGTCGCGTGGATGGCACCAGGGAGCCACGGAAGGTTCCAGAAGCATCTGAAGCTGGGCGCTTCGTTTTGTTTTGTTTTCTGAATTTGGTCTCCTGAAATCATGGGTGTTCACTTCGGGAAGATGAGAGCGGCGAGGTTTCAAGGTTCGGGGTGTGGGTTGTACCCCTAGACCTTCACAGAAAGGACGACTCGTGATACAAGCAGCTTTTCCCGGCCCTGACTCTGCACCAGGCCGTCCAGGCACCACATGCTCGTTCAGTCCTCGGCACGGCCTGTGAGGCGGGTGCCCTGTTGTCCCCTGAAGAGCCCGGGAGGCTGTGGCCCAGAGCAGGGGCTGCCGGTGATGGGAAGGCCTGGGGAGTGGCGTCTAAGGCTGGTGACACAGCTGCCACTTTGCATGATGCACCAGAAGGAAGGGGGGCTCTAGGGGACCTCACACTGGCCCGGAGGTGACACAGGTCCCAGGGAGAACTCGTCTTGTCCCTGCACCCCCCAGAGGGACCGGGACTGGGGGTGCCCGCTGCTTGTGTGGAAGGCGGAGAGCTGGTGACGAGCGGGTCGTTAATGAGCCCACAGTGGCTGTGCTGGAGGTGAAACAGGAGGAAGAGCAGAGGCCCCGGCTCACCACTCGCTTGTAGCTGGGTCAGATCTGTCCTGACTGTAGGAACAGGGTGGACAGTGCCGGACGGTGTCACCGCAGAGCCCCGAGGAGGCTGCCGGGAGCCTCCTTAGGCCTCGGGGGAGAGGTCCTGTCCCAGTCAGATTTCTGCTTCGAATCGCCCGGTTTTTCTGGGCTGGCCCTTGGGTTTGGTGACAGGCAGGATGGTCATGGGGGATTTTCCTGGACAGTGGGGAGAGGGGCTCGAGGGCATCGAAACTGCGGGCAGCGCTGGCTCGCGTGGGGCTGGGCTGCAGGCGGGAGGCCTGGGGCTGTGCAATTGCCGTGGGGCCCACAGGCAGGGGCTGGGGCTGGAGGGGTGCGGGTGTCCCGCCTGCGCCTGGGGGAGCGGGGCTCAGAGCTCCAAAGGGCTGTAACCGGGTGTCTGTCTCTCCCCGCAGCCCCCGCCCCTCCCGGAGAACCCCCCGGCGCTGGAGATGCGGCCCCGGCTGCGGCCCGTGTTCTTCGGTGAGGGCATCGAGGTGAACCCCGAACCCACACACGAGAT